ATATATATATATATATATATATATAATATAGTACATATTCTCGTATCTATAGATCTATAACCCTTAATTATTTTTCGTTGCTCATAATTGTGTTATTTAGTGTATGAATCATAATGAGTCATTATATTATTAATTTAAAAAAATATATTATACCAACAATATAGTGGAATAAATAATTACGGTAAAAAAATGTGACTAAAGTGACTAATTTAGCAGGTTCATTTTTCTTTCTTGAGAACATGTTAAACTAAAATTGAAAGAAATATAAATTTTATTTTGATTTCAAAACTGAATATTTTCACTTTAATCTCAATATTAATTAAAGCTCATTTTATAAAAAACAAAGGCCACTAAAAAAATAAAATAAAATTAGCAGACAAACAGACAATAATAGCTCATAGAAAATTTGGAATACCTAACATAACAGAGTGTATGGGAAATCGAGTACAGGTCACTTCAATAGCAGCATTTTGGAATAATGGAATCTCATCCACAAAAACCCATTTTAGAATCCCCAACCAGATTTTTTAACTAACGCCAACGGTTTAACTTGCGTTATTTTCCCCACTAAGCGAGTGAGTCGCTTTTTTCCAATAAAAAAATAAACAGAAACGATGAGTAGGTGAGATGGAAAATTCATCACTCTTTCCCTCGGTCATCTCCCAAGTGTGTGCATTCGCTTATAAATATCAACCCAAGAGCTAGCATTTAGATTCCCCCCACACCACCACTCTCAATCCTCCCTCTACCACCTTCTTCACTCTTTCATCACACAGAGAGAGTGATCATCATAACATAACACATTCTGCTTCAGCGTTTAGCAGAAACAACCATTTTGTTACTCAACTTGTCAAATCCAATCATGTCCCTCTCACATCACCAACATTCTCCTCAACGATTCTTCATTTTCCTTCTCATCCTCGCTTTCATAGGTATATATATATATACTAACAAAAACACAATAAACCCCATCTTCAAATTACTCATATTCCATACATACTATAAGGTTGAAAATTTTTACTTTTGAAAATATATAAAAATTAATTCCCTCTAAAGCATCATGCTCTCAACTACTAAGAATGGTCCAATAATGTAATTAGAATAACATGTACATGATTTTACGTTATTGTTGTAATTTTTAACGACATATGTGACATGCAGGTGTAGGAGTTTCAGCGACAACATTCACATTCGTGAACAAGTGCGACCACACGGTGTGGCCCGGAATTCTAGGAACACCGGACCTGGGAACATCGGGTTTCGAGCTGAAAAAGGGCAGCACGCGCACGTTAGCAGCGCCGCCGGGCTGGTCGGGGCGGTTCTGGGGCAGAACCGGCTGCGAATTCGACGACTCGGGCCACGGCACATGCGCCACCGGCGACTGCGGCTCCGGCGAGGTGAACTGCAACGGCAAGGGCGCGGCGGCGCCGGCGACGCTCGCGGAGTTCACGCTGGGGTCGGGTGCGGCGGCGGACTTCTACGACGTGAGCCTGGTGGACGGGTACAACCTGCCCATGATGGTGGAGGCGAGCGGCGGGTCCGGGTCGTGCGCGGCGACGGGGTGCGGGGCGGACCTGAACCGGCGGTGCCCGGCGGAGCTGAGGGTGGAGGGCGGCGAGGCGTGCCAGAGCGCGTGCCGCGCGTTTGGAAAAGCGGAGTATTGCTGCAGCGGCGCGTTTAATTCGCCGGCGGCGTGTGCGCCGTCGATGTACTCGGAGATGTTCAAGGCGGCGTGCCCCAAATCTTATAGCTACGCCTTTGATGATGCTACCAGCACGTTTACTTGCACCGCTGCTGATTACACTGTCACCTTTTGTCCCTCTTCTTCCCCAAGGTATAACAATTTCACTCTAAGCAGAAAAAAAATCAAAACTTTCTTTCTTTTTTACCACCGTTTTTTTTCTTATGTCTTTTTTGGTAATATTTATTTATTATTTTTGTTTTTTTCCTCTTTCTTCGGACGAGGGTAAATAAATGCTTCAATGATTTTTTTAATTGAGAAAGTAAAAAAATTCTTGGTGAAGCTTTATTTTTGTTAAAAGTCAACAATGATTGAAGCATAGGTGATGGTTGAGATTTTAAGATTCAACGAGTTAGGTTGAAAAACTTTCAACTCTGTTATTCTTGCACTGAAATTTATGTAGTTCTCCGTTGCAAAGGATAAGGAAAAGGTGTTTGAGGAATATTTTTTCTTCTTCTTTGGAATTGCATTATCTTGCATTTAGAAAACAATATTTGGTCTTTTTACACTAGTTATCTTATTTTATACCTATTTCTAAATGAATTTTAAAATTATTAATAGTTGAAAATAATTGTATTTTATAATTTAAAATAATTTTATATTCATTTTTTTATTATATAAATTTTACTTATAATTTATTTTATATATTTTAAATATTTATTATTATTAATTTTATTTACATTAAATAAATATTTATTTATTATTTCAAAATATTTATTTATATTAAATAAATATTTTCCAAAACAGAAATGTCGAGTGTAAAATGTAGAAATTCAAATGAAAGAGT